CCTCCAGCATCATGTCTCTCAAGTTCCGCCAAGCGTTCCGCGCCACACTACTCTGCTATTGCTGTTGTTGGCCTCGCCTGCGACCGCCCCGCCGTGCCGCGCGAAACTCCTACACCTTCAAGTTCCAGCAGCGGAGTCCCTTCAACACACACTGCTCCGTGGTAGGCAGCAGCAGCAGCAGCACCACGAAGACCAACAACAACAGCAACAACAACCAACAGAACGGCAACCACCACCACCACCACAACAACAGCAACAACAGCTTTCAGTCGCCTGCGCTGTTGTGTTGTGGGGGCAGCGGGAACAATACGACCGTTATCTCAGCGTTGCAGACGGAAGGGAGACCACTCATAGAAATGGCGGTGGTAAATAACAAACAAAGGGCGAATAGCAGAGCGGGGAGCGAGGAAGAAAATTCTCCCGAAGGAGGTCTGTCTTGAGCCCGGCTTAATTAAGCTGTAACAAAGAATCAAAACTAAAAGTATGTGATGAAGCGACTGCAGCACTTTATGTTCTTGCACGTTCCTCGAAACCAATACCCCTTCTCCCTTTTCTGGTGATTCTGAGCGAGATGGTTCACCGCAGAAGCCAGAGGGATCCTCGACGTTGTAGCGTTTCAAACGAGGATCCACAAAACTGAAGAAAGAGAAAAACAACCAACAACCTGAATTTGAAAGTGAAAGTTGTTTTGACTGACCGTGTTTAGGTCAAAGCACGTGTAAATATTCTTAAAAGTGTCTTTTGGGCATGAGGCTACACTGTCCACTGACCCTTTACCTTGACAATCAATGATTTATGTTTAGAGGCACCAGTCAACTGACACACATGCATGGAGAGAGAGTCCCCGGATGTGAGTGCCAGTTAAAACGTTCTGAACTGGGGGCTAAAGTTTACCTTTACCTTTACCAGTATGTGTGTGTTCTATGCTGTTGGGAACATATTAAGTATCATCTCCTTATATTTGGCTAGAGGTGGTTTGCATTATTAAGGTTCACTTGAGGAGACGAAGAGAGAGAGAAAGAGAAAGAGAGACAGTCGAGAGAGAGAGAGAGAAAGAGGGAGAAAGAGAGAGAAAAAGAGGGAGAAAGAGAGAGAGAGAGAGAGAGAGAGAGA